GTTTACATCTGTACTTTAGTTACCTTTCTGAAAGCCTCAGTGTAGTCTGTACCACCACAGCTACCCTTTGCTGACATAGTGAATACATTTTTCTATTTAAACAAGTATGCAATTTACCATTTGCTTTGGTTAATATATTTTTTCCATTTTCTGTTAAAAATGATGAATGGTGCTTTTCTTATTTGCTTGATTAATTTTTTAACTTCTGATTTTCATCAGGCTATATTTGGATGGAAATTGGAATCCAATTAATGAACAAAACCAGTATTTTAAATGGTTTTCACTAGTTAAATGTGCTGGATATAGACAAAAATTCCTTATCAAGCCTGTTTTGTGTTTAAATCATACTGATTTTTGTAGAAACAAAGCAAGTATTATCAGCTGTTTATGAACGGAATTAATTTTTTTTTGATCACCATGGTCTTCAAGACTGTTTCTTAGAACTAAGAAATCTTGGTTTCTGAATCTTGGTTTCTGGAGCTAGCTTTTTTTTTTTTTTTTGCTGGATATAGACAAAAATTCCTTATCAAGCCTGTTTTGTGTTTAAATCATACTGATTTTTGTAGAAACAAAGCAAGTATTATCAGCTGTTTATGAACGGAATTAATTTTTTTTTGATCACCATGGTCTTCAAGACTGTTTCTTAGAACTAAGAAATCTTGGTTTCTGAATCTTGGTTTCTGGAGCTAGCTTTTTTTTTTAAAAAAAAATAATCTTTTAATTCTAAGAAACTAAGTTCTCTGTCTGAGTAAACATCCTGGTGTTGTCTAACTGTGTGCCACAGCTACGTGAGACAAACTTATTTCCTCAAAGCCATGTTCCCCAGTTGTATGCAGGCCTTCTGTCCCACCACGCAGAAGATTATGTAGCTTGCTTTATACTGTTTGAACTTGTTCAGTGTTAAGGTGGACTAGTCCTGAGCCCATCTCACAAGTATTGCTGGGGTAGAAGAGTATCTCTGAGACAGTTACTCACAAGTTAGGGTGAACATATGGACCGTGTGCTTTGGAGAACCTATGTTACTATTTTAATTTTATTTTTTATTTTTTCCTACATTTCTGTCAGTTCCCAAGGCTGGTCTGGTCCTGAACAAACTATTTTCTAATGTGGTGGAAAATAAAGTGAATGGGGAAGAGGGGAAAAATTGCACAGAATTCTCCATGTACAGGACACTTTGCTGTTGTCAAAAATTAGTCTATGACTAATTCCATGACTTAATGAACTTTACAACTTTGGTAATGAATGCACACTAACGTTTACGCTGAAGAGTATTTAAATTTATAACTATACTGTTAAGGCCCTTAAAATTATGAAGTAAAAAAGATTAACTGCAGGATGTTCTCTAGAGTCAATACAGACAGATATTCTCAAAGATATAAATGCACATATGTATTTTAGTTTTATATTTTAAGTATGTGTTTAAGCAAACTTGGCCTTGTTAAGGGAGTGAACATTGAAGATCAGATTCCCCACAGTGAGAAGTTGGTTCCCTAAATATAGTGCTTCTAACATATGTTTAAGATCTAGGAATCTATTTCTGATATAATTAATGCTGTGGAAGTTCCTGGAAAGCTCTATGACTTATGTGGCATGGCATGGGGATGATTAAATTATAGTTGATTTTCTTCCATCCTAAGATCTCCAGAAACATCTGCAAGATTGATGGGTGGTGTAGTCATTGCATTACGTTTTGATGTGTTTCTTTTGGAAGACAGTCTTCCAGTAAATATAAAAGGATTTTAAAATTATTGTGGGTAAGGAGGTGGACAGATAATAAATTGAGCTTGGTGTTATGATACTCTCTTGAAAGTCTTAGCTGGACTTGATTTCTGCCAGAAGAAAAAAGAAAGAGCTGTTGTTTTTGATGTTTATGCTTTAAAACAAATCAAATAGTATGCTTTTTTTGAGTGGTTAAAAATCAGTGTGGATAAAGAAATGGATATAATTCCTCTAAACCCCGCGTGATATTATACTGGACATGAATTTGGTTATACAAATGGGCCAATGTGCTTCTGCAGACAAAAATTTGAAAAATGACAAGGTATAAACTGTTTAGTATCAACAGATTCTCTACTGTTTCTTAATAACCCTATATCACTATTACACAAAAATGGAAGTTTAATGTTCAGGAACCTTACTCACTCACATAAAAATAACAAAAAAAGTCCTTTAGAAAAAAAGAAGTTGAATTGTATCAACAAGTCCAAAATATGAGGAGGGGTGGGGGGCGAGTGCTGTAGCGAGTTGACTGTACTGTTGGAAAGACACGTGTACATCTTCTGCCTTTCATTGCCTTTGCTGCCTGTGTTTCATGTTTAAGGGTGAGGCAGCAGAAAGGAATTTCAGTGGTGAATTGAATCTAGCCAAGAAAGTGGCTGGAAATCAAGCTTTGGGAAGAAGAAGGGAAAACTGCTGCAGGCAGATGGGCAACAGAGGGAAGGCAGGAAATATCTGCAAACAAAAGCGATGAACTTTCATTTGTTTCTCTGGTAGAGAAATGTCTCTGGAGGTAGATTTAGGTAGAAGCTGTGCAAGTTGTTGAAAACTAAGTCAAGTTTCGTGTTTGATTTGTAGCAATGTTATATCAATTAGCTGCAACATTTGTGTGCATTAGCTCAAAGTTTAGCTGGAAGAGGGTGGCTGGATTCGCATATAGGAGAGAACATCTTGGCAGTGGACTTTTGCAGGAGCTGGAGTGTGTGTGGACAATTGAATGTAGGGGTCAAGAAGACAACTGAGCAAGGGATGGCTAAGCTGTCTGCGTGTAGATTGGAAAGAGGTTGCCTCTGCACCCAGTGGGTCCTTGTAACAAAACTGGAAAAAACCAAATTCATGAAGGCATCATGAATTTGTATCCATTTAGAAACAGTTTTCTGAAGTGGTGAGATCAGCCAAGTACCTACAGTAGCATTTCCAAATTACTGGAAATCTTGCTGGATTCACGATGAATATGTAAAAGGACTTTCTGTGAGTACACTCAGGATGTTTGTAATAATAAGAGGAGAAAATGAGTAATCTTCTGGAAAGCGGTTTAACATATATACTGAAGTGACTGGTATCTTTCATTACAACTATGTAGTTTCAGGGCGTCGTTTTGAGATCGTTTTAAACTGATCTGTAGGCAGATTAAAAGGGTTGTTCCCACCTTTTCCCATGCCCTGACCTAATTGTTATGGCTTCCTTGCTTGTTCCAGGCCTGCTGCTTGTGTGGCACTCTGGTTACTTGGATCAGGGAGCCACTGCCTGCATTAAAAATCCGCTGGAGCTGCAATCCTGCTGGCCACAAAGCACAGGGGGCGGTGGGGAAGCTAGGTGTGGAGGGCTGCAACCTGTGCCCAGGCAAGATGTGGGCTTAAACTAGCATAAACTGACTTTAAATCTTGATGCCTTGTACGTGTGAATACGCAGGGTAAATTGTGCAACTTGCAATCACCTAAAGCGACTGGCAGAATGTGTTTCTATTCTCGATATCCTATTTCTGGTTTTCTTCACCTGGTACATGGAGCTGTGCCTGGAATTTGTTTCCCCTGAGGTTACAGTTGACTTGTATTTACCAAAATAAAGTGGTAAAACTTGGAAACAAACATTTTGTTCTGATTTGTTTACAGTTAATGCCCTGGGACTGTGCTTCCCCTTGAAAGAAGTTACTGAAAATTAAAAATAAGTGGAGATAACCTTTTTCTTTTTTTTTTTTTTGGGGGGGGGGGGGGGGGGGGGATTGCAGCTGCTTTTTTCTTTGTATTGCATATAACATCTTTTTCTGAAAATATCCCAGAAAAAGCTGCTTTGGTGAGGTTCTGTATGTTGGCCTGTATCCCAACCAAAACATACAAGAGAGCAAAGCTAAATGAGCATGGTTGGTCCCTTGTGCTCTGCTCACTCGTGCTTGGGCTGGTCTGCATGGTGGGTACTGAGAGTGAGGATGAGGATGGCTGCATTGTATTCAGATACCTCTATGGGGAAAAGGCCTTGTTGATTTTTCTCTTGCTGAGGATGAACAAAACAAATTTTGAAAATAATAAGAGGCCTGCATAGAGAAATAAATGCTTTAAAAGAAAGGAGGTCTTAAATACCTCCTAGTTCAAAGACAAGACTTGCATGAAATACTTTTGAGAAGTGACCCTGATGTAAGTGGGTGGATTAATGGTATGGCAGTGTAATGGGTACTCAGTGGTGCTCTGTTAGTCCGAGATGAGCTCTTCTGAGGCTAGTAAAGTAGTTATGGTTTATCGTGTCCTATGTAACCCTGCGGTTTGACCATCGCTATGCAGCACAGAGAGGATCTCAAGTGTTACATTGTGCTCTCTATCCATGAGGTGTCTGAAAACAATAGGAAACTGCAGTGGTGCCCGATATCCAGTGGGCACAATGTTAGGGTCCTCTCACTTTTAAAAACACCTAATCTAGTGTTTAATTTACTAGCCTGCTTGAGGCCTGCTGCCAAGGCTCCAACTGTTGCATAATGTTACACAGGAGGAATCGCTGGCAGTTTTCAAGCTGGCTATCATTCCCAATCACTCCCACACAAAGGAAATTGTAACATACATGTAATTCTGAGGCTTTTTGTGCTGCTCTCAGCACAATCTAAAACTAAAAAAATAACTAGGAAAACTAGAAAGAGTTTGCCTGCTCAGGCTGTAGCCCCTCCACTTGTAGCAGCCTAATCTGCAGAGTCCTGCACGTGGAAGAGCATCTAGACAGTGACAGGTAAGAATGAAAGCCTCGTGAAGAAGGAACACCTTGATCGTTTTTTAAAAATATACACATTAAAATTGCAACTATTTTATAAAAGATGAAAGAATCCTCTTTTGGCTCAAACCATTCATGTTCTGTGAATTTCATGATTTCCAGAAAAAGCCAAACTCTTAATATGCAGACATCACAGGGCATCCTAAGATTTCCCCTTTATTTCCATGCATGCCTGTTCCCTACCCGTTTTCCTGTCAGTCTGATTTGTAATGTTCAAAAACATTCACTGCATATTTCCTTCTTCCCCACAGCAACAGCCCGAGTCTGAGACTGTTCATCTGTTCATCCCAGCCTTGGCAGTTGGAGCTATTATTGGCAAGCAGGGACAGCACATCAAACAACTTTCTCGTTTTGCAGGCGCATCTATTAAGGTATTATTACACTGACTAACTTTCTGTCTATTCTACATGGCACTTTCAGCAAGTCTGCACAAGCTGTGTTTTCGTGAATGTCCTCCCCCACTCTGTGCTTAGGATGTGAAGTGATAAATGGTACATTTGTTTATAAATCATCTTTTAATCTTCCTTGAGACAAGATAATTAGAAGCATGTTTTCAAACGTCTCCTGAGGTGTGAAATATAAGCTGCAAAGAAAACTACTTTGGTGGTCTCAATTTCTTAGAAACAGACTTAAGTCTTAATGATGCAGTGCTTAAAGGCTTTCTTCTTGCTTTTGGAAAAGTGAACATGGGTGAGGTAAATTCCCCTTCTAAAAACAGCTGCACAGGTGAAGTCTTCTACTGTTGAGACCGCTCTTGCTCTGTTCCAGATAGATTGGTCTGGACTGTCAGGCTTGGTTGGCTCCATGCTGAAGCAGTGGTGTTTTAAAATCACTCATGTACTCTGAACTCCTGAGAACAGTCTGTGCTTTAACATCATGTTTGCCTCAGTGTGCTGCTTTAACATCCAGCTGTTTGTGTGTTGACCCTCTCAATGTAGCTAAGAACAAAATAGTTTGCAGAAGTTGACCTAATGGAAACTTAAGTTTGCATTTTAGCCACTTTGGTGAAATCTTTGCCTATTCCTTGGCTATGTTATAGAGATTAGTACCAGTTGCAGTTGTAGGAAGGCCTTTGATTTCTGCTACAAATGCCATTGTAAACATAAGCATCTTTTCTAGATGCTGGAGATTTTTTTTGTAAATAGCCAGTTCTGCTATTCTGTGCTACAAAGGTAATGTTTTGGCCTAAATTATATTTAAAAAAACAAAAAATAAACAAAAATAAAAGTGCAGTGTGTAGCTTTGTAATATGTTGTTAGATCGACATTTTACTGCACAGATGAAGCAAACATTTTCTTCTGAGTTCTCTTTTTGCTCAGGAGATGTGGCCTGTTTAGCAAGTGCTATGCAGTAGGGATCTGCTGAAGTTCCAGGCAGTTCAGGAGCAGAGGGGCAGGAGCTTGCTATACTGAGCTGGGTGAAGCCAGTGAGGCTGAGCTTGCCTTGGAAGGTTTTCATCTAAGTGTGCAAAGTAAAATAATTGGGGAACTCTGATGAATGAGTCTTGTGTGTGGTATACTGAATACTGATCCATTTACTGGCCAGTCAACCCACTGGCATGCTGCCCAATTCCATCCTTTATTGAGCAGTACATTAAATGGTTGTTATACTACCCAGACGGTTTGCATTAGTAGAGCACTAATAATCATATTTTTAGGGGGAAAAAATGGAAGAGAAGGAAGTGAGAGGTGTTGATTTTTCTTTATCAAACTTGTGTTGCACGGGGTTATGATGTATCATGTGTATTTTCTCTTTCACTCTCTATTCCCATAGTTTGTATCTAAAGATTAAGTGGTATATGGTAAGTACTGCTAAGTGGAAAGAAATGTGAAATAACCTGGACCTCCAAGAACCCGTCCAAACTAGTTCTTTAGTTGGTCCTTGGAAGACAGTTTAGTGGAAAGGGAGTTTCCCATTTTTCTCATGCAGTTGGCTAACAGTGGCCTCAGGCTTCCTCTACTGGCTGGCACCTCTCTACCCAATGCATTTAACATATTTGTATTAACTGAAATTCGGTTAAAAGTTTGTTAAAGCTCTGGTCTTTTGTTCCTTCAGTAGGAATAAAGTAAAGAATATTTTAGTGGAAATAGGATTAAATCTTAACAGAATTGTACAGGTCCAGGATATGCTAAATTGAGAAGTTGCATGTATGCTCATTAATTAAAATAAAAATGCAACTTCATCTGTAATCTGACCATACAGCATGGAGCATGATTCTGTATGAAAGTGTTAAATATGACTTCTAGTAGTAACTTATTCAAAGCTTCTGAACTTCCCTTGTGTTGACCACCATAACTTTTGAGCAAAATAACAAATCATGAATCATCAAGGAACCTGTGCATTTTAGCTAAGAGATGGAGGGAGTGCTGCCTGAGTTACTTTTAACTTGCCAAACTGTAGTAACTGTGCTTTGTGGAGGAGATAAGTCTTTGTGCATGGCGCTCAGAACTTGTTTGGAGTTGTGTTGCAGACTGTTACACTTGAAAACATTTTACATCTGCATGCATCTGGTTTGTGCTCATGCTGAGCTTTATAGATCTGATGAAAGACTAAATAAACTGCAGATGCACAGGACTTCTGCATAAGACGTGGTGTCCAGCCCGTCACTTCATAGATGTACATGGCTATTGACAAATTCAGGTTATGTTCCTGTGCCAGGGGTCACTGCTTGGTAATGTAGGCTCAGCATGGGGCTCCAGCAGACTGAATTACTTGGCGAAGGGACCAGGCAGAGATTTCTGGGCTGTCTGCTGCCCACTCTGTACTACATTGATGGGACCATTGGGAACCCTTGGCATCTTCTTGGTTACAAATTATTTCCAGAGTAGCCCTTCCTGTCTCTGAGCATTACAGGTTTTGGGTGTATGAAGTTGTCACTTTGTGACTTGGCATATGGAAGACCAGTTGTTTTCTGGTTAGGAATGTATAACTATTTCTAAGAAGGTAAAAAATCACCACTTGGATACTATTTGTCTGCATATAACTTCTCCTTCCAAGAGCCGACAGACAAAATTAACACTGAAGTATCTTAGGTTGTCCTTTCAGACATGGACATGTTAGTTGGTACATGCTTCTTTCACAGCCCTCAGCCATGTTTTACTCCAGCTGTGGAGAATAGGACATTCTCAGATAAAAGCAAAGCAAGAAATGTCCCAGAACACTTAAACATGTGTAAGATGTAACAAAGGTTTGATGGGAAATAATTTTCCTAAAATTTTGATGAAGGCATTGGTGTTCACTAAGAAAACAAGGTGACTGAGAGGCAAACTACAATGTCTATTTTACATAAACAGCAATTAGCAGGCTGAACTCTGTTCAGTCGGCTGCCTCCAAATGTGCCTCGAAATTTTGCCCCTCTAAAACACTTGTGTTCCAAAGAATGAATGGATTTAGTCTGTGCTTGCCCTTACCACAATGTCATGTCTGTATTGCTGTAAAATGAATGTGTACTTTTAGATATAGCCAACTGGAATGCAGAAGTCGTATGAAAAATAAATACGCAAACCAGATAACTATATGTAAAGTCTTCTCCATCTTAGAGTACAATAGGAATAATTACATAAACTTTGGTTAGCAAAATTCTTTAGTGAAAATGATGCATGGTGACTGGTAATTTGTCTGAAATAAACTACAGCTGTTAAATATGAATAACATCCCTATGCCAACAGCTAAGATGAAATCCTGTAGTGTTTTAATATATTGCCCATTCAACAACAGCTATGTAATACTAGATGCAACAATGGAAATGTCAGTTGTGATAAACAAAAGATTCATCCAGAATGTCAGAGGCTAGTTTGAATTATTTAATGCCATTGGAGTGTGAGAACAACACCCACAGAAATCTTACTTTTGTGGCGACATGAACTGCTAAAGACCCTACAGGCGTCTCTGTCTCAGCTCTGGTGGAGCTTAATTTTTATTTGGGTCACACAAATGTCTGTAGATACAAACCCCTTGGAAACTGCGAACTCATTGTTGCAGGAATGTTTTGGATCTGATTAGTTACAACAGTAAAGTGATCTGCTCTCAGGGGGACAGACGCAAACTTTTGCTAATGAGCAAAACTTGTTAGAAAGACTGTTTAAGTTAGTGGATAGGGATAAGAATCTTGGTCTATTAACCATACTTGTCATTTTGAAGGCTACATGTCTTACATCACTCATAGCCACATGAAAATGGCTTGTGGGATTTTGCTATATGTGGATGAGTAGCTATGCCTTTAATTTTCAGAAGTAAATTTGCTTACAGTTTATCCAATTTCTCCACATTTCATTGTAGCTAATTAATGGACTTTAAAGAGAACAAACCCGTCATGACTGAAGTGTAGTGCTGCTGCTGTAACAAATAATTTTTCAATCTGGAACGGAATGTGAGATTGAAATGGGGAGGAGGTGTCTTTAAGCTAGTCCTTCAAAAGACAGCTACCAAAAGCTATATTTATCCATTCCAGATTGCCCCTGCTGAAGGACCAGATGCCAAGCTGAGAATGGTTATCATCACTGGACCTCCAGAAGCTCAGTTCAAGGTACAACACATAAAAACTTGTCAGTCTGTAGTGGCCTTTGGACTGTAAGGGATAACATCAAAAACAAAACATTTGGTTCCAAGCATGGCTTTATTCAGAATTTTAGTAAATACTTAATTTTTCTTTCCTTTTGCTGAAAGGTATCTTATATGAATGCATAAGTAATACAGTACTAACAGAGGCCACATTCTGGTCACCTGAAAACTGCTGGGAGTTTCATGTAAGTTAGAATCAAATCTAGCATGAAAAAATGGACATATTGTATTCCTAATTTTCCCTTTAATCTACAGGCTCAATAGTTCAGTCTTTCTAGCCTGTCTGAATACATGCAACAATTTAGTGTGTTTAATTGAAATAACAAATCTGACAAGATGAGAGACTGAGTCTTCCCAGATTACTCTTGCGTGCCAAATTGAAAATGCTTTTTGGATAGCTCTACAGATAAATGCAAGATTTCTGACTGTATTTCCACCACAACAACAAGGAGATACTCAACCTGATTAACCTATTTGTGTTCAAATTGAGTTCTCAAGTGGCCTTCTGCCTTAAGTTTCAAGGGATAAATCTAGTTACCCCAGAAGGAGTCGACTGTGTTAGGAGTGATGCAGACAGCTCAGTGCAGCAGCCTGGCCTCATCGCAGATGAGGCCCAGAGCAGATAGAAAGTCCTAGCATCATTATCTTGCCTGTTCTAGTTTTTGTCTTTGTGTTTTTACTTCAGGGCATCTTTCAAGAAGGAGGTGCACAAACTTTAGGCATATCTAGAATCAGTTTCATTAATGCCTTTAGGAGTTTTGGAGAAGTATCAGGGCAGATATTTTGCAGTGGTAACAGTGAACTAGATGCATTTGGGATTATTACTGTTACCATATACATTTGAGAAGCTATTGAAGGCAAAGTACAATTTAGAAGCTCTGTCTCCTTTTTGTTTTCTGTGTGTATGTGTGCTTGGCCACACAACATGTTCCACATATGAAGTACTGTATATGAATATCAGTGAATATCAGTGAAATTAACCTCAAGCAGTAGCAGGCTGAAGTAGATTTGGGTGTCCTGTATCCTGACTTTTCGTGTAGGCAAAGGCTTCCTCCTTAAGGTAGGCTTGAAGTCCCACAGAGTTCTTTTGCCAGCTCTCCTCCTCAGCTTGGATCATGCAAGGTGGAAAGTCTCCCTTTTCTGCACCCCCTACATTGGTTAAAACCACGTCAATCAGTCACTTCTCTACACTTGGGCTTCTGCTTGCAAAGAGGGATCAGTGTACTAGCACAGCCAATGCCCCCGAGTATGCTGGTCTTCCGAAGGAGAGAGGTTATCCCTTGGGGCTTTCTCAGCTCCAGTCCTCATAGTCCTTTACTGCTCTTTGAGCAATGCCCTTTTGACTGAGAGGGGTAGAGGCAGAGTTCAGTCCTTTCTTTTATTACCATTGTTAACCCAAAGCATGCCTTACAGTCAGGGCCCAGCCTCATTAATGCTGTCCTTAAGCTCCATTTAAGAAGGGTCTTCTCTATCTTTGAGCATAGGCTATTGCTTGTTAGGCACCAAGAATGTAATCTGGGTGCACAACAATTTGAAGAGGGAATAGCTGCTGCTCAGATGAGTAACCAGCCCTTGGA